TGATTGTTTTTTCACCATTCCCCATCCTCCATTCAATCCTCCTTCCCTTCCTTATTTACAAAAGTTTTGTTTCCTTTTTTCCTTCTTATTATTTTTGTGTTCCCTTCCTTTCTTTTCCCCTACCCTCTCTCTAGTTTCCCTTCCCATTTGAAAATTTCTTTCCTATTTCACAATATGTATTCTACATTTTGGTCCTTATTTATACTTTCACACCTTTATTTATACTTCTCACACCAGAGAAGCAATGTAGTTATTTACACACTTGAGTCCAATTTATTTCACTTATGAGTATGATTGCAAGGTGCATCCATTTAGCTGGAGTTGCCTCAAGATTATCCTTCTTTGTGGCAGGATAACGCTCCATGGTATAAAAAAACTCCCACCATCTTTATCACCATTTGATGGACATTAAGTCTTTTTTCAAGATGTAACTATTATAAGCTGTGCCACTATAAATATGGGTGTGCATATATTGCTGTGGTATGATGCTTTTAATTCTTTCAGAAAGATAACAAGAAAGGGAATAGATGGGTCAAGTGGAACCTCTAGTCCTAGCTTTTTGAGGAGCCTCCACATTAATTTCCACAGTGGTTGCACCAGTCTACACTCTCACAAAGAGTGGAGAAGGGTTTGTTTTCCCTCCCATAGCTCCACCAGTATCTGTTATTGGTTGATTTCTTGATAATAGCCATTCTTTCTGGGGTGAAATGGAATCTCAGCACTGTTTTAATTTGCATTTTTGAATGACCAATGATATTGAACATTTTTCATATATTTCTTTGCCATTTCTACTTCTTTATCTTTAAAGTATATATTTCAGCTAACCATTTTTTATAGTCTTTAAATTTGAGGGGGTCTGATTTTTTTTTTTAGTTCTTTGTATATTCTAGATAGTAACCCCTTGTCTGAGGAACAGCTGGCAAACATTTTCTCCCACAGTGTGGGTTGTCTCTTACTCTGTTGGTGGTTTCTCTTGCTGTAAAAAAGCTTTTTAATAAGATAAGAGCCTAGATGTTGATTCTTTGTGGTAGTTCCTGTGAGAGTAGGGTTTTGTTCATAAAGTCTTTGCCTATACCATTGTCTGCAAGAGTTATACCTATTCTAGCTTCCAGGAGATTTGATGTTTCTATTTTACTATTTAGATTTTTTTTTTGTCTTTTTCTTTTTTATCAGTACCAGGGAACGAACTCACAACTGCCTGCTTGCAAGGCAGGTGCTTATGCCGCTGAGCTAAATCCCCAGCCCCTACTATTTAGATCTTTGATCCATTTCAATTTTAGTTTAGTGCATGGTTGATGAGATGGGTCTATTTTTAATCTTCAGCATGTGGAAAGCCAGTTTTTCCAGTCCCATTTATTAAAGAGGTGATCTTTCTTCCAGTGAATGTGTTTTTCTACATCTTCTAATCTGTTCCATTGACCCAGATTTATTTTTTTTTTGTCAGTTCCATGCTGGCTTTTGTTTTGTTTTATTTTTACCCTGCTATTTCTATCACAGTAGATTTGTGGTATAACTTCAAGTCAGGGATTGTGATGCCCCCCTGACTTGCCTTTGTTTCTCAGAATTCTCTTTGCTATTCTAGGTCTCTTTTGGTTCCAAATGAATTTTAGGATTGTTTTCTCTAATTCTGCGATATATGCTGTTGGAATTTTGATCAGGATTGCATTACAATTTTGGAAGTATTTCCCCAAACTTTGTAACAACCCAAATATCCCTCAAATTTTAAGTGAAGAAGCCATGGTTAATGCATACAATGAAATATTAGTCACCAGTGAAGAGAATGAGCACAGATGCACACAAAACCATAGATAAATCTCAAACACAGTATGCTAACTGAAAAACCTTAGACTCAGAAGACTACATATGACATTCTGGAAAAGCACTACTATGAAGACAGAAAACAGGTCAACAGTTAACAGAGGCTGAAGGTGAAGGAAAAAATTATCACAAGGCAGAGGTGACTTGGGGAGGATGGACTGTACCAAACCTGGATTTTGGTGACAATTATATGATTATATGTGTTTGTTGAAACTCACAATACTACACACTGAAACAGAGACTTTACTGCACTGTATACATATAGGCTATATCTCAATTTATGAAAGAAAAAACCCACAATGAGATACCAGGACCTACCTACTAGAAGGCTCAGAAGGTTGACAAGACCAAGTGTTTCCAAGGAGATGCACACACTGAATTCCCATGTTTTGCTAAGAGAATACAAAATGGCACAATCACTTTGGTAATTTGGTAGTTTCTTATAACCTTCCCCATCTACATAAGCCATCTATTCCACTGTTTAACATTTTCCCAAGAAAAATGAAAGTATATGCCATACACAGATCTGCATAAAAATTTTCATTCCAGCTTTATTCATTAAAGCAAATGTTCATAATGAGTCTTGAATAAATGAATGAAGTATATATATTTACACGGTAGAATACTATTCAGTAATGAAAAGTACTGATACATGCAACAACATAAATGAGCATTAAAAACATTATACTAAATGAAAAGAGTCATAGGAGCTCATCTTTATTAAATTCTAGAAAAGGTAAACTATAGTGATAGAAAGAATAACAGTGGTTTCCTGGGCTAAGAAGAGGAAGTAAGAGCCACAAACAACATTTTTAGAGTGACAATTCCGCATCTTGATCAGGGTAGTAGTGGTGTACATAAAGCTGAACACAAGTATCTGTCAAAATTAGATGACCTGGCCAATCAGGATGCTGCACACCTGTAATCCCAGCTGCTCAGGGCTCTGACACAGAAGAGTCACAAGTTGGAGGCCAGCTTGGGCAACTTAGCAAAACCCTAACTCAAAATTAAAATAAAAAAGGACTACTTGGGTTCAATTTCCCGTAGCAAAAGAGAAAAAAGATCAATAACATTTAAAGTGGTTTATAAATTATAGTTCAATAGAACTGACTTTAAAATTAAAAAAGAACTAAGAAGAATTTATTCTAATCAAAATGTTATACTTTAAGCATATAGGTAAAAATAATCCTAAGATGATCCAGGGATATAGCTCAACAGCACAGCATCTGCCTAGCAAGTACAAGGTCATCAGTTCAATTCCAAGTACAAAAAAAAATAGTAAAATAATCCTAAGAAATAGGGATAGAGACCTAATTTATAATATAGCATCACAGGTCAATGGGAAAAGAATGTTCATTTTAATAAGCAATACAAGAATGCATGCTCTGGGGCCAGGAACATAGCTTAGCAGCACAGCTGCTGCTGGCAAGCAGAGGTAATGAGTGATACCTGGTACAAAGAAAGAAAAAAGAATGCAGGTCATCTACATAGGAAAAGGAAAACATTAGAACCCCAAAGCACCTTCTACATATAAAGTCTGTATTTGTAAGAAGAATGCCCAGGAACCATGATTACAACCTTGGTGGAAGAAAAGATAGATGTTGTGTATAATGATAGAGTCTAATAGATCAGTGACTTAAGAGCAGGAAAAAAAAATTTAAAAAAAAAAGCAACTACAAATGCACACATTAATTGATTGTGACAAAGTGCCAGCACAATTACAATTGGGTGTTGGAACTAAAAAGGAACTTTCACCTCACCTCATTCTATATAAATATTATTTTGAGATGAATTATAAATCCAGAGGTAAAAACTAACACTATAAATCTTCTGAAACAGAAATCCTGACCTAACTGCAGCCATTTTGTTAAATAAAGCTACAGTCATTGTTTCCTGCCACTGAACTCAGCTACATTATATGGTTTGTCATTAAATTGAAACTTCTGTGAATGTGCTAAAACCAACTTCTTACATATACAACTATGCTCATCACAAAATATTCCTTATACCCTGGCCTTCAGCAAAACCTTATCTTATTCTTGTAACTTCTGCTCCTGGCCCTATAAAAAACATAAGTTCTCTGTAATTACCACCTCAGACTTTGAAGATTACTCTTTTAGGTGCACTGGCATTAATAAAATTTCCTTTCTTCTCTTGAGCTCCTGGATACTGTTGATTCAATTTTTCCCACAACATTTCTAGAGGGAACCTAAGAAAATATCTTTCCTGATTGTACTTCTAATTCTGTTAGTACTTGGAACAAAACAGTTAACACAAGGTTAGACTAATTTTGTATGTCTATATCTGATAATCTGAGGAACTCTTGAAGACAACTATGCAAAATAACAACCTTTGTTAAGTTCCTACCACCTTGTTTTGAAAGCCTATATTGTTATTATTTGGGGATTTTTTTTGTTGTTTCTTTTTTTTTTTTTTTTGTATTTTGTTTTGCTTTGTTTTTCACTCTTTAAAATAAAAAAACTTTCCAATCCTTATAGTACATGAATTTTTAAGATAAAATATCACTGGCCATCAAAGAAAAATAATACATTGAACTTCACCAAACACTAAACATATATATATATTATTACAAACCATTGCTCTTGGTAATCTCTATTTTAGCTTTAGTATAAATCTTAACAATTGTTAAGAGTTGATTGGTTGATTCGTTGATTCTTAGAACAGAGAAAGTTCAGGGAAGGAGAAGACTACAAAAAGGATTCAAACAGTGGAAAAGAGTTCAAAGAAGCTACGCCCTGGTAAACGCTTAAAGCTTTAAAAACACATGATAGTGTCAAAATAGCACTATTGTAAGTAAAACTTTAAGTGTTAGAGAAAGAACTGGAAATATGTCCTCAGTAATGAAAAAGAATAGCTGAAGAGAAGAAAAGAGAAACTCATGGGCAGGTCTCTGGGCAGATCTATGTCCAAGAGAGAAATGGAGACTTGGGGACAGTGGAGTACGGGACCAGCATGCAGCCCAGTGTGGTGCAGCCCTGGGAGGGAGCAGCAGTGGTCCATCCACCCACAGGTCTCCTTGTAGAGAAAGGGGAAGCTCAGGACCCGCCATGTGTACTTGATTAGAACTGAAAAATAATTTCCAAATTTCAAGTCAGAAGGCTGGAAGGCTGGTGTTTGAACTTTGACCCCACCATACCCAGAAACAGGTGCTTGAGGTCAGGCCAGGGTAGTGAGCAGCCCATTCACGGTGAACAATGGTTGCCAAGTGGGGTCTCCGGGGAGGGATGACTCTTTTCAGGTACCTCACAGGAGCCAGTCAGAGCTCAGCTTCAACACTGAAGCTTCTTCTCTTCATTTCAGAGAAATTCTTGTTCTCTGATAAACCCTCAAGCCACAGTGTCTGTGAGGCAGAAAGACTTCAGTGAATATAATACATCGAACATGGTGAAGACAGGAACATGATGAGAAATTTCTAGTCATTTTCAGGTTCCATCTTCTGACAACTTAGCATGGGGGAATCATAACAACAAGCTCTCCCTCCGGCCCTTCTGACTTGACTCACAGCCTCATATATCTGTCCAACAGAATCCTGGAACAGAGCAGCACAAAAGTAAGTGTGAGCTCAAAGAGATTAAATGTATTGATCAGTAAAACCCATTGCTTGAGTTTGAAATTGGGGGAGAATATAATCAATACCTATCCCTCAAATTCCTCTTTTTGGCAACAGACCCACTCTGAGTAGGTCTCTAAGAGTGGATAAATGAAGGAAGTTCCTCCAATTTTACAAGAAACTCAAGGAGGAAAGGGGAATGGTAGAAGCTGACTGGAATCAAATTCCTTGATCTTTGATCTTTAAATGGTAACAAGAAGAAAAAGAAGATTTGGGAGGGAAAAGTTTAAGGCAAAATAATTAGGTAGTGGTATGTCAGAAGACAGTAAGAGGCAGGATTCCAAGGAATGAGATACTCCGATGCTCCCTGAGCAGGTCCCAGGGCTATGTTTCTTTGCAGAACTGACCCTGGTTTACCACCATGAACTATTGCCTATGGAGATACATATTTGTGGCATCCTTGGTCACCATGGGATTCTCCCTACGAAAAAAAACAAAACATCGTGTTGACCACAGCATGTTACCGGTAAGTATCAGATGTAGAGGCTGGACCATTGTCAAATGTTGGGTAAAAGAGGAATTTACACAATAGTGTGAAATATCCCAGTCCCATCATAGTAGTTCTAAGAGAGCCCTTGAAAATCTGGGGAGTGTCAGAAAAGGCTGAACTTTGAACCAGCCTTCATTTATGAGTAAGATGTGACTAAGGCCAGAGAAGTAGGCATCCTAAGTGAGGAGAAAGTGACACATAGCTAACTCTGGGAGGCCTATCAAGCTGAGGATAGTGAGGGAGGTTAGAGTCTGCCATGGAGATGCTATTCTGCTCACATGAAGGGATTTGAAGTAATTTTCCCAGGGGAAGCATCTGCATGGAAGACCTAGCAGCACACAGGGAAAGCTGGTGATTTGGAATTTCTCTTGTTTTCTAAGATGCCACAGACCAGCCAGAACAAGCCGAGGGTGTGGTGGGTGCAGTGCAGACCTGGGTGGGGGCAAAGCTAGGACTCAGATGGCAGCATGCAAGTTCCCTTCAGACACAATTTGACTCACTAGACACAATTCAACATTTCCCCTATGTGGGCTGACGCCAGGTTTTGCCATGTTCGCCAGTAATAATGCCAATAATAATGGTAGAGAAATGGAATATGGAGTGCAGCAGCAAAGGACAGGGCAGGGCAAATCCTTCCACAGCCTGAGCCTAGGACCTCCCAAGACACTGCACACAATCCTAGGAAGCCGCCACCTGCTCAGGACCATGGCATCTGCTGCAAAGCTCTGGGGAATCTCTGGACAAGGTAGAGCAAAGGAGAGAGCAGTTAACTGAGCCTCACAAGTGGCTGCCTGGATACGGGGTCTCCCAGCCTCTCCTACAGTGCCCCTCACTTTTCTACAGAGGCCCTGAGGGTCATCCTCGGGGCTGACACTTGTGCCTCTTGTCCTCTGAAGGAAAAGGATGGCATAGCTTTGCAGATAGTCCAGGAACAAACCAACTTTGAAATCAAGAAGCATGTGGAAACCTTCAAGGAAATGCAGAAAATCTCCCCTCTGCTCCAACATGCCACCTACACTCACCTGGCTGGAGCTGTACCCCAGGAAAAGAGTGAGTGTCTGGGAGGGCAGCCAGACCAGGGGAAGGTAAGGCAGGGTGTTTCAGCAAGGCAAAAGGAGGGAAGGTCAAAAGACTGGGTAGAACTGGGTGGTGAGGACAGGAGAGCAGCTGAGCCAGGGCTGGCTGGGGACAGGTGCAGATGGCAGTGCTGAATGCAATTTCCTCTCACCTGCCCATGTCCTGCAGCTCAGAGAGGGGAAGTTGGTGAAGACCTGTAGAGGAGCCCTTCCAGAGAGAAGCTCAGTGACAGCGGCCCCGGGCAGGGGAGACAGGGAGCCAAGGTAGCTGTGGGGGAAATAACTGGTTCATGCTTGTAACCAGCACTTGTTGAGGAGGCTGAGACAGGAGGATCACAACTTGAAGCCCAAGCTAGGCAACTTAGTGAGACTTTGCCTCAAAAATAAAGATGGCATTCTGGGCATGCTGGCACACACCTGTAATTCCAGCACTTGGGAGTCTAAGGCAGGAGGATTGCTGCAAGCTCAAGGCCAGTCTGAACAACATAGAAAGACTCTGTGTCAAAAAGCCCCCCAAAAAAGATGGCTCAGTGGACTGTAGCTCAGTGGCAGACTGGCCCTGGTTCTGATTTCCAGGGGAAAAAGACAGCAACAGGGTAGAGGGAGAAGAAAGCAGTCTATCTTGTGTCCCAGCACCCTGGACTGCCAGATTCTGGGGCTTACACGGGTCCATGAGGATCCTTTAATCCTATTCAGGATGGTCCAGGTGGGCTGAGGTAACCCTGAGAGTCAAACCAGGCTGAGATGTCTCTCCAGGCCGGGGTACAGGGTGGCCTCCCCCGCAGGAGAGCCTGGCCTCCGCAGAGCTTCCCCCAACAATCTGGAATCTCTCCCCATCACATCTGAACCTCTCACCTGGGCCCTGCCCTCCCAGGGAAAAGAAACATGCGTTGGCCCCACGGACGCAGAAGGGGAGGCCTGGGGGGAGAATCCAAACACCTCTCCACCACCCTGAGGCACTAAAGTGCTTGTCTCCCCAGAGTTGCTGACGGTGGGAATATCCGCAGCTCAGCATCCCCATGGGACCTATCTCCTGGAAACCCTACAATCCCTCTTCCAAGCTTCCTCCACACTGGACCTGGAGTGCACCGTGGTGCTGGTGCACCTGACAGACTCTGACCCTGCTTGGCTCCAGCAGGCAGTCACCAATATCTCAGCGCTCTTCGCCACGCACCTGGAGGCTGGGAAGCTGCTGGTGGTCCACGGTCATCTTGGCAGTGGAGGCGGCTTCCCTGTCAAGAGTGAGAACCGCTCCTCCCCCTGCCAGTCACTTTATTCCAGGCAGAAAGTGGCTTATGCCCTCCTCATGCACTTCGCCAGCAACCTCTCCGAGTACTTCCTGCTGATGGAGGATAATGTCCAGAGCACCCCCAGGTTCGTGTCTGCCATCTACTGGACAGTGCTGGCCTGGAAGGAACTGCCTTGGCTGGTCCTAGAGTTCTCCAGCCTGAGATTCTCCGGGAAAGTCTTCCACTCGAGTGACCTCGGCCGCCTGGCTTCCTTCTTCCTCCTCTTCCCCAAGGACACTCCCACTCACCTCCTTCTCTCCGAACTCCCTTTTTTGTCCTTTCATAATGTCCCGATTCGTTTTGGTACCTCCATGTTCTTCCACATGGGCAATTATTCTGAGTCTGAGGTTGCCTGCTTTCCTGCGGAAGAGGTGGAGGAATTCGATGAACCAGACAACCCAGCTGCTGTCGTCTTCACTGACATGATGTCCAAGAAAGACCTCCCACAGTATGCCTATGTCCTGAGCGAGGACGTCTTCACCACCATGGATCCTTTGAAAGGCAACTACGTGATGGTCGTTCTAGACAGACCGCAGAAAGTCACTCGGATCGTGGTGCACACAGGCACTGAAATCAAAGGGCTGTTCCGGCTGGAGCGTGGGCAAGTGCTCCTCGGCTACAACCGCCTGGAGAATTCCAAAGGCTGCACTTCCTACACCCTTCTGGGGCCGCTGGTGGCAGGGAATTTAGACCAGAGGGTGTTTTACGAAGATTCTGAAGAAGAAATGAGTTGTATAAAATTGCTAGTTCTAGCATCTCAGGAATCTTGGCTCCTGATTAGGGAGATCAAAGTCTGGGCAGAGCCTGAGGACAGGAGTGAGTGAGCACAATGATGATTCTGGTAGGACTAGGTTTGGAAATGGTTTGTGGATGGACAAATCTAAAAACTGGTAAAATGCTGCTCCTACTGAGTTGGGTGTCCAAGCATGCTTGATTGTCCATGTAATCAATTCTCCAAACTTGGACTCTTCGGAGAATGAAACACAGTGGGTTTTTTTTTTTTTTTTTGCAACTAAACTAGAAGGCAGATTGTTCACACTTGTAGTCAGAGCAGTCTGGACACTAAGACAGGAAGGTTGAGAGTTCAAAGCCAGCCTGAGTTCCATTATGAGTTCAAGGCCAGCCTGTAATATAAGTGAAACCCTGACCCTAAAAACAAAGCAAAACAAAGCCAAACATGATGGCACATGCCTGTGATCCTAGCACTCTGAAAGGCTGAGGTAGGTAGATCACAATTTAAGTCCTGCCTGGACAATTAGCATCTTAGCAAAATTCCAACTCAAAAAAATGGAAAAATTTAAAAAATGACCAGGAGATACAGCTCACTGTGAAGGGCTGGGGTTGAAGTCCCAAAAAAGGAAAAGAAAAAATACTATACTGGAGAGCCAGGTATGGTGTCATGTGCCTATAATCCCAGCTACTTGGGAGACCAAGGTATGATGATCACAAATTCAAGCCCAGTGAGGAAATCATACAAAACAAAACAAAAACCACACTAGAACAAAAGATATAAATGAAAACTATCCTGGGCATGATAAGATGTATGAGACCTTAGTTACTTCTCTTATCACTAAGGAAAAATATTCAACACCACAAATTATAGAAGAAAAGTTTATCTTGGTTTACAGTCTTTAAAGGTTTCAGTCCATAGTTGACTGGCTCCAAGGCAGTGTGGCAGGCATGGTAGAGGAGAAACAGCTCATGGCATGGATGCAGGAAGCAGAAATCAGGGAGGAGGAAGGGAGATAGACAATTCCAGGCCACATCCCCCGTGACCCACCAAGGTTCTACTTCCGAGTATCACATTTAGCTATAAACTCATCAGTGGAGTTAGTATCACACACTTTTCCAGTTATTTTTTATCTATTCATCAAATTTTGGGGTATATAATTAATGTTAAGTGCATACTTAATGCTGGGTACAGTTAATTTAGACCATATGAGTAGGAGGAACCAAACATGGATGATATTAGCAAAAGACATAATGGTAAAAATCTGTAACTGAAATGTAACATAAACGTTAACTCTAAATTGATGAACAGCTGGGTGTAGTGCTGCATGCCTGTAATCCCAGCACTCCAAGGCTGAGGTAGGAGGGTTGGTATGAGTCAAAGACCAGCCTGGGCTACACAGTGAAATACACACAGGTATGTCATTCCGGGACCTTTCCAGGGCCAGCTTGAAATATATGGCAAGACCATAACTCAAAAAGCAGAACAACAAAAAACACATGACTTATCTGTGATGAATATTACACCCCCGTGATCCAGTCCCTTCCTCAAAGCCCCACCTATGAGTTCATGAGGCTGTAGGGGACATCTAGATCTAAACCACAGCATATGGTCACTGTAATTTTGGGTTTTCTAGACAATTTAAGGTAAATGACACAGCCTAATGAAGGACAGAGACAAGGCAGTATCCTTCTGACTTCCAAGCATCAGAGAGGAGTTACCATGAGCTGCCTTGGGTTTTGTCTACACACAGGTATTTTATCTGGGGATCTTTCCCTGATGGAGTCATTCCTCCATCTAGAGTTGGCCACAGTCTTTTTTTTTAAATTTTATTTAAGGAGGAAAAAAAAAACAGAAAAAGGGTACAAGTTATACAGAATTGCAGAAAAAATGAACAGTAGGAAATCACAATAGATTACATATTGTTATCTTAGATATAGTTGTTCAAGTTACAAAATTAAAGCATATAAAGTGGACATTCAAACAGTGAGACTGTAAACAGTTCTGTTCAATGATCCAACAAAACTCAGTAATATGGTTATCTATCTTATACACTTAAATATACATGCAGTTATATCCTTCAGAGCACTTTCTTTTCCTCTCTTTTGTACAATGACAATTACACATTTTGGGTTTTATTATTCCCACAGTTCTTATTACTTTTTTTGAAGAGAATAAAACCAAATGTGACATAACAAAACAGAGTCAGTCAAATCAAAAGGATGGACATAATACATACTGTAAAAACAAAATACAAGGTGATCAACAATGGTTATAATGCCTCTTGCTATCTTAAAAAGAATTGCCTATATCATCAGTTATAATAAAATTGAACAAAACAGTAAAGAACAAAACCAATAAAACCAAAACATTGGAGACATTACAGGACTTCAAAAGAAGATAAGAGTCAAACCAGAATGGACGTCATAATGAATCTTATTGTCTTCACAGTTGTTGCCTATACTCTCAAACTTGGTACTATCAAGCAAAACAGAATAGAGGAAAATCAGTCAAAACAAGATGGTGAGAGCAATACAGGGTTTCAAATCAAGTTAATAGGAAATCAAAGTGGGTTACTATAATATATCCTGCTATTTTTATTTATATTTTCCTTAATTAAAAAGATAAAAATAAAAAAGTAAATAATAAAAAAGGAGATTGAGATAAAAGAGGACATAACAACAAAACAACACAGGTCAAAACATAACCATTTAAGCAAAATAGTGTTTCACCACAAGATAATCCTGACATAAAAGCAGTTACCATGGTGTCTCTTTTCTTGAAATCTTTGAGTATAACTTCATATACTGTAGCATCAAACATATCAAGACACTGTAAAATCATTCAGGAGAATGACATAACAGGGTATTTAGAATCAACTAACAGAAAATGAACAATGGTTTCTGTATAATCTCCTTGTCTATAAAGTTTTTGTTTATATTATCACATATAATAAAATCCAATAAGATACAACATGTTAAGACCAATGGAGACAGAAGAACAAAAGCTTGATGGGACTTCAAAACAAGATGATATTAAATCAGCACTAGCTATTATGATGTCTTGTTTTCTCCAAAATAGCTGTTCCTACCATCCAACCTTCTCTGTCTCATTTCTGTTGAGCTCTTTTTCTGTCATTAGTTGTCAGTTTGTCTTCTTCATTTCACTTTCTGCTCCATTCATTGTGGCCTCTCTGCCACTGTTTCTGGAATCTTGGTATTTTTCTTTTTTAGAATATCCTACAGTATTCTCTGTAGAGTTGAACTGGTGGTTGCAAATTCCCCTAGTTCCTCTCTATCCTAGAAGCACCTTGTTTTTCCATCAATTTCTAGGGACAGTTGTGCAGGATATATCAATCTTGGCTGGAGGTTATTATCTTTCAAAGACTGAATCATTTTCCCCCACACTCTTTGTGATTTGATGGTTTGTGCCGAGAAGTCTGCTGTAATTCTGATGGGCGTTCCCTTGTAAGTGATGTGTTTCTTGTCTCTGCAGGCTTTTAATATTCTGTTCTTATATTGGATTTCTGGAATTTTGATTATTATATGCCTGGGTGTAGCTCTGTTTGGGTTGTAGGTGGCTGGAGTTCTGTATGCCTCATACATCTGAGTATCTTTACCTTTCGCTAAATTAGCAAAATTCTCCTGGATTATTTCTGTGAATAGCCTTTGTACTTCATTTGTTTGTGTCCCTACTTCTTCTTTTACATTTTTAAGTTATATATCCTCATCATCTTCTAGTCTTTTGCTGTTTGTTTCCTTGTTATTTTTAAGAAGTTTTTCATTTCATGCTCCCACCTTACAAATCTGTCCTCCAGTTCTGATAATCTATCCTTAGTTTCTTTCAAGCTGTTATGCCAGCTTTCAATAGAGTTTTTAGTTTCCTGGTAATCTCTTTGAACCTGCTTCACGTATTCTGTGTTTTCTCTATTTTCTCCATCAAACAATTCTCCCTTTTTTTCCTGTCCTTCCATTCCACCATCTGTTTTTTCTTGGGTGGTGCTTAGCATTTCTCTAACTATTCTACTTATATCTTGCTTTACTTCATTAAATATTTCACTTTTGAACTCTTCTATGAGGCTCCAGAGATATCGCTTTATGTCTATTGGTGCCGTGTCTGATATTGCATGTTTTCTGTCCTCATTCTCCTTTGCATTTACCTTTCCTGGATCAGTGTTCTCAGGACTGGGAACTGAGGACCCTTTCTTGTTGCTCTCTCTTCCCATACTTTTTTTCCATAAAACCGTATATAGGAGGCCCAATTTTTTTTTGTGAGTTATAGTTTGTTTGAATCTGCTGGCTAGGTTTTCCTGCCCACTGCAGTGTACTAGGGAGACACAGACCTGGGAAGCCTCTGCTGGGCCTGCCCCTCCAGGTCAACCTAGTGAAGGCTTCACTGCTAGGGTGCACTACCAGGTGCTGGAACCTGGTTTGGGCTAGCCTACTGGGTCTTAATCCATGGTGTCACACAGGCCAAGAGCTCCCCACCAATCCCGCTTGAGAGGGAAATATGCGACTAAAGTAACTGCAGGTGAAAGGGTGAAAGACCCTCACTTCCCTTAAAGCCTCGCACTTACATGGGCAAAACTGTTACTGACCCCACGTGAATGCCACTCGTAAATCTCTCAGTGACAACTGGAATATACAAGGTTTTGGAACCAAGCTGCCACAAATGAGTGACAGCTTGTTCTGGACCACGGCTTATTTCTTGCCTGAATCAGTCATGGGAAACATATTTTCTAACTCCCAAAAGACGCCTTTACAATGCCTAATTTCTAATTTATGTACTCTAAAAAATAAAAGTACCATAAAAACTAAACAATTAACTTTTTACTGCCAGGATGTCTGGCCAACCTACCCACTTATCGGCAAGCATTGGCCCAAGGAAGGAACATTTGACCCCTGCATTCTCAGAAACTTGTATGATTTCTGTCAGGCCGGTGACAAGTTATTAGAACTCCCTTATATTCAGGCCTTTCTTATTCTGAGAACGTGCCCGTCTCTCATTAAGTCTTGTGCTCCTGCTCAGATACTTTTAGCTAACTCTACCAAGCCACAAACTTTTCCATCCTGCCCTCCAGTGTTTTCCTGGTCG